ATGTTAGCATTTTTGCGAGGCTTGACGAAGTATCTCTTCTCTTTGTGTCCATTACATCAGATACTTTGTATGTGCATTTAAAATTGATTATCCGTAATTTTATCGAAAGAAGCGCACATTCACAACAGTCGTCGTTTTATTTTCTCTGACAGCGAATTTTTATTTTCTCTGACAGCGAATTTTTATTTTATTTTTATATCTTCGCGCAGTATTTAAACTATTCGCTAAACCTGCCTTTTTGTTTCCTTTATGTCCCACCGAATTGATAGCCGGCGGTACGTACACCTATCCAATTAAAAAAATCTCGATTGCACGACCTCCATAGCGTGTGTAGCGGCAAACCGAAAGCTCTGTCGCCTATCAGCACGTCGTCGCGTGGCTGACTTCCTGCCAAGAGCGCTAAGAAACCATCCCAGTCCGGGAGCAGCGCGTGGCGCCCGGCAGCGCGTGCAGGCAGCCGCATACCCTGCCGTATTCGCGTCGCCTTGCCGCTCCAGCGATAGCCTAAAAAAACGCCAGGGACTTTGTAATGGGAACATGCAGATAGATCGCGGTTGCCTTGAGCCGGAAACGCGCTGCCCCGTCTTGGGCCGAAGTCGCCTGCCTCTGGATGGCACGGAATCTTTTAAAAACTAAAGTTTTCTTTAGGAAAAAAAAAAAAAAAAATCCTCCAAAAGTTTAACGCGAAACTGTAACATGAAATTTCCCCGCCGATTTCAATGTGGCAATTATCGCAATTACTAATCTGTTCCATTATCTTTCGTGGTAACTCTGGAGGTTCTCCTTTTCATTCGTTTATATCTGTATGCATTTATTGTAAAAAGAAAAAAAAAAAAAAACACTTATCTCTTTCAAAAAAGGCTTTAGGGCTCTAAGGTAAATTTACAAGAAATTTCATTTATGAGGATTTCTGAGCTCGGATCACTCAAAATTTCTTATAACAGTACAAACGTTTTGCGTATAATACAAAAAAACAAAGTTTTCCTGTTAAATTTAGAGGTAAAATTCACTGAGGCATAATGCGGCTGTTTTTTTTTGTTTTTTTTCTTTTACTATTTTTTTATTTATTTATTTAATTTTCTTGGGACTGGAGAAAGCCGGCGCGGTCCGTTGCCCATCGGGGCCAGGCCGGGCGGGACTCGCTGGCCAATTCGGCCTCCTTCCCGGATCTGCCTTTTTCGCGGATTAATCGGAAGGAAACTTTGCCTAATTTCGTTGGTGGGATTGCGACGTGGCGGGCTGCTCGGCTCGTTCGCGCCATCACGGTACGCTGAGGCTGGCCATTTTCTAGATCACAGAACCGGATCTTATTGCGGCGCACGGGTAGCTGCCAGACGCGCGTCGGTCTTTGAAGGGAAGCGCTCTCAGTTATTCTCTAAGGAAAAGAAGAGGGCAACGCGCATCGATTGTGTGCGTGTCCCTGTCCCGGAAACTACGGCGTCTCGGATATATGTCGGAGCCATCGTATTCGCTAGAGCCACTAATGCATGGCCCGCACTGACATATCACATGAGCCGCTGTTGCTCCGTACCACACTCCTGTGGCCGTAGCTTCTGCATCATACACCATCGAATCTGTTCTTCTCGGCGAGGCTTGTCGAGAAGAAGAATTTCGATGGTCCCAAATGTACGCTGCAGAAGGTACGGCCTTAGGAGCGTGGTACGGAGCAACGGCGGCCCGTACTGTGCCATATATGCAATGCATGTGTACCCAGTCACACCCTCGTTGGGCGGGCACCCTTAACCGCAGTTAAGTCACCTTTTTTACTGCATCACCACAGTTACCACAATGTAGACTGCCGAGATAAAAGAATGCCATCTGTCTCACGGAAAGGCGACGAGCCCCCGACGCCATCTTGAAGAATAACGCGTCGCTCATACCAGTCTGTGCACGTTTTAATCTTGAAGGACTAATGACGATACGTTCGCGTTTTGTTGTGTAAAGTCAGACGGAGAGTCGTTTGGTCGACCGAATTAGTGAAGAAACTGGATTTGGCTTGTTTTGCCGTGACGTTCAAATGCATAAAGTCGAGCACGATCGGGGTGGCGACTGCCCGTTCCACGTGGCGAGGCACGTTCGACGCGCAGTTTTGCGAGTGAGGCTGATACTCTACAGAGAGAGCTACTCTTGTTACATTAAAAGTGTGCGGCTATCGATTTCGATTACGGTTTTATTTTCGGACAGCTATTTGAGAAGAAGTGAAGAGTGCGCTTGGAACAGCTTTCATGGGCGCTCAGGATGTGCAAGCGCTCGTGTGTCCACGCATGTTTGACTGCATAGCCACAGAAAGTTGTCCAAGGGTGAGTTATTTAGGGGGTCATGAAACGATATCGGGTCGGAATGTTCATTACCACGTGCTGGTCCTAGTCTGGCCCAACTATACTCGCAGCGACCGCCAATGATTCAGACACTCCTTTGTCGCGGTGAAGTGGCGAGGATAAGAGTGGACTATTTCTTTCAGTATTGCCTTCGCAAAGCTTGAAGACCTAATTTTGGGATCAAAACTACCCGCCTGACGACAGTCGAGCTTGGCTTATGGATGGGACACGAGAACTGCACGAGCACTCGACTTCGGCTTGTAACGATCAATGCCTCGGCAGACACTCGGGTAGTGTCCCACCACTGCGGTGATTAGAATAGCCGAACTCTCACAGCGCCTGGAGCTTAGCACACGTTTTCTACTTTGCCGACCCCAGCGTGTGGCTATGATTAATGCTGACAGCATAGGATGGGCACCAGGCCGCGTGGCGGCTTGTTCTGGCTCCGAGTTGAGGCAATGAACGATGATCATATTTCTCGATTTTTCTTTTTTTCGGCGACTGACATTGAAAACTATACGGCAAATTTATTCGGTTATCAACGGTGTAGGGAGGGATTCTAAGCAGTATTTAGAGAAACTAGAAAAATCGTTTCCTAGCTCCTTTAACTGCAGTTAAGTGTGCCCATATAACGAGGGTATTACACGGGCATACTTAACTGCAGTTACGCTTAACCACAGTTACCGCACTATTTTCGGACAACTTTCTTTGGCTTTGCTACAGTGTTTAAGAGAGTCGTAGTGGCAAGAGCGGCGGCCGCCGCGTGAAGATTTTGCGCGGTAGTGCTGCTGTTCTGAGCCCTAGGAACGTGCCCCCGTCAGCCTCGTCGTCGGCGCTGCTCGGCGTGTGCTACTGTGGCTTGACTGGAGTTTTTCGCGACGCAGAACAATTGACTCCGTAAGTGATGACGTCACAACTTGGCGTCTGGGTCCAAACAAACCGTTGCTAGGGACGTTGCTATGGACTAAAGCATGGAGACTCCACACGAGGCTAGATTTTCGCTTATAAGTAAGTAAATAATTTTTTGTAAGCAACCTAACTTCTTGATATCTAATTATGAAGATGTTCTTGTCATCTCAGCGTCGTATTGCAACGAAGAAAGCCATTTCTGAAGTATTCCACTCCGCTTTGCTTTGGTAGCAGACGACACGATAGATTTGCTGGCCCCTGTTGCAGCGGGCGTCTTCATTGCATTGCGTCGGTAAACGAGCAACACAAGCAAGTGCATCGCCATAACCGCAGAGGCCTCCGCAATGTGCGTTTTTTTCTGTGAAGCACCAAGCTTAGTTCAAAGGGGCGAAAATTCCGTAAAATCAAACCATGTCATGCAGATCAGTTACGACGACGACCTGAAGTGCATACTGCAGGCCAGCATGAGAAACAAATCGTACGCCGTCGAGTTAAGTCGTTTGTTATTATAATTATTGAGGTTGTCAGGTTATTAAAATATTGCAGATCTATCGCAATTTCGCTCTTTTTTTCTTTTTTTCTTTTTTTGTATGTAGATTAAATTTAGTGGATGTCCCCTTTCGGTGAAGATCTCCATCGAACCCGCGATGAGAGTACAATCTGTAATAAACTCACCTTATGTTTTTTATCCAGTTCTTTCGCGTTTTGGGGTTTTGCGGAAATCTGAAGAAACTGCAAGAATCTTTCTCCACGCGATGGTTACAACCAGGTACGAAGCACCCTCCCATTGCGCGAGTCCGCAAACAAAATTTGGGATCTCTACCGATTGCCTGAAGTTCTTTTATCACGGGTGCATTGCGATCTTTTAGCAGACGATCATCTCGATCGACGCCCGGACTTTCGATAAACCATATTTTGCATCGCACCCTACTATGAATTATTATAAGTGTCTGAAACTCATTATATTTCAAACAAATGCAATATCAGAGTATCGTCTTTATTCACCCGATTTAGACGCCGGCGCAGGCTTGGCCGGCGGGCGTGTGGGAGACGGCATTCTTCTTGCATTCGTCGTCTGCTGCAGGCATCTTGAGGACCGGAAGTTGCAGTCGTAAATATTTCAGAAACAAGCGATTACCGGCACAGTTCTGTCGCAACATATATGACAATCAAGCTTTCTATATCTGTGATTTTTAGAAGTTTAAATCCTACTCCCGATTTTTAAACGGTCGGGTTCTCGTAGCGAAACCTAGCCACATGTATTTGTCCATAACAACGACCCTAGCAACGGTTTGTTTGGACCCATGACGTCACACTTACGGAGTCCATTGCTAATGTGAAAAATTGTAGGTTTTCCTTTGGACTTATAAGGGGTATTCACACGAGGGAGAAATCCCGGGGATTTCTCCCCGGCACGCGCGCATCACGAGATGAAAACGCGAGGCTTTTGCACATGGCAAAGCCTGACGTTTTCGTCGTGGGATGCGCGTGCCGGGGAGAAATCCCCGGGATTTCTCCCTCGTGTGAATACCCCTATAGTGACACAGACAGAAGCGCTAGGCTCGCAATGCTCGTTCTCACGAGCGCCAGCCTCTGCCAGCGCTCGTGGCTTGGGAGCCAGGAAAATAAAGAGAAGGAAGTTGACTCGAGCCAAAGCTCTGGTTCGGACGCCTGCATTTTTCCTTCGGCGTTTATAGAACACCGTGACGCTTGACAGGGCGGGCGCAGCATACTCCGCGACGCGGTCAGCCATCTCGGCAAGGTAGGCATGTGCGAATAGTGTTTTTTTAGTTCGAAGCGAATTCGAAGCGAATAGTAATTTGCTTCGAATATTTTCGAAGCGAATAATTCGAATAGTTGTACGAAAAATTATTAGCAAAAGTTATGCAGTGGTCACTTCACCGACCATTTATTTTCACTGCAACGCAACCACAAATCAAAACTTAAGCTCATGCACAAATCAAAACTTAGTACAAGAAAAGTCAGTGATTTTCATGAAGGAACACGAGCTGCTGCACATGATCAGGGAGGAGAAGCTCCCTCCTGCAGCTCACGATGCTTCCTGCGCTTGAGAAAAGCCTTTCACTCCTAGTCTGGGTTGCTGGTATCGAGAGATACCTACGGGCAACACGGACCAGGGATGGGTACAGATGTCTTCCCCTGCACCTCCACCATGCCAAGGGGTCTTCTGTGCGCGCAACGAGGGGTGTCTTCAGGTACTCAATAGCCTCGGTAGCGAACTCGTGGCCTGGCTTTTGGTGCGTGTCAGAACTAAGACTGGTGAAGACATCCCACAGGGTGTCTCCTAACGAGTCTCCTATGCCTCCGCTGGTTTCGGCGGCTGCATCACTAGGCTCGTCCACTGATGCGCTCTCCTCAACGGCCTTTGTCAGGAGTGTGCGTGCCCATTTTTTTTCTGCCTCTCTAGTGTAGCACCCGTCCTTGTACCTGGGGTCCACCAACATTGACAAGGCTAGAAGGCGACACATCTTCCCATCTGGAAATCGTGTCTTGATGCTTTGTATGAGGCTTGAGGCAACTGATCCTGCTTCATCGGTAGAGTGTCGACTGAGAACAACCTTGGTGCGCTCTAATAAGGGGATCACTTGGGAGAGGGTCGGATAGCTGTCTCCAGACAGCTCAGCTGTGGCTTGCTCGAGAGGCTGCAAGACCTGCACTACTGCAGCCATAAGCCTCCACTCACTTGCACTGAGAGGTTCCACTGTGTCACATTCCGACAGCTCCACACTGACGGGCACGCGAAGCTTCACAAGCCTCTTCATCATGGCGTGTTCACTATTCCAACGTGTTGGAACATCTTGCACAAGTGGCTCAAGGTTCATGTTCTTTTGGATTTCCATAAGGCGCCCGCGGGCCTTTGCACTCCTTTTATATCGAGCCACAATGGTTCTAGCTTTCGCACATAACTGCGAGAAACCCGCCACTTCTTTTTTGGCGTTGGTGATGCACAGCTGGAGTGTGTGTCCGAAGCACTGCACGCCAGACCACGGTGACCGTGCAAACGCTGAGGTGAAATTCCTAGCGTTGTCCGTGACTACATAAATCGGCATGGTGCCTGGCGCTGGTAGTTCCCAGTCCTCGATAGCACTTTTGATGAACTGTTCCAGGTTTTCGGCCGTGTGGGAGTCCGTCATGTCCGTACAAGCCAAAGCGTGCACGTGCTGTCCAAATTCTTCGTCCATCACGTGGCAAGTCACGGAGACGTAGCTATTGTTTGCGCGCGAGGTCCAGCCATCCGTCGTGATGGAGTAACATTCTGCTCCGCTACTGAAAATATCTCGCAGACTCTTTCTTAGTTCTTTCTTTTTGGACTCGTACAGATCCGGGATGACAACCCGCGAGAAGGTCGTCCGCGATGGCACGGTGTAGTCGGGCATGGCAAGCTTCATCATTTCAATGAAACCACTTTCTTCTACGATGCTGTACGGATGCATTCCGCTAGCAATGAAGTTCGCTATTATCGCCGTCATTTGTTTCGCTTTGGGTGCAGTCGGTTTCAGTTTGGGCTTGAAACTGTCGGCTACCGACGGTTGCTGATGATTCGGTTTACTTCCGTTCTTGTGTTTGACGGCACTCCCGCGTGCTTGACGCTCACATTCGAAAGTCTTGTACGAATCAGGGTGCCTTTTCAGGTGCGTTGCGAGGGTCGTTGTCGTACCCGGTGGAGTTTTCAGCACTGCCTTGCATTTGAGGCACCGAGCTTCATTTCCCGGTGGCACTTTCAAGAAGTAGTTCCATATCGGATTTCGATACGCACCGGCTTCACTTTCATCGTTCCCGGCTGCCGTCGATGACCCGTCAGCCATACGAACGAACACGCAGCACCTAGAGCGAGCACACTTCGGAATCCTTTGTGGAGCTGCGACGGCTGCGACACACGATTTTCTGATCGGTTTAGCATGTCTTGGATTGGATTGGATATTTTTTATTTCTTGATGCCGATGCGGCTTTCGTGAGTAACAACCGAAACCGAAACTACCAGATACAATCGGCCTTCCTTCCGCTATTCGTTAGTGCCGAATACTTCGAACTTTTACGAATATCGGAATTCGGATCGAAGCGAATACCGAATAATGTACTATTCGTTCGAATATTCGGAAAAATCGAATATTCGCACATGCCTACGGCAAGGCGATCGAGTGGAAGATCGGTGGCTGGTGCAAGCGTCATGCGAATGCCTTGTGGCAAGCGCTGGAGAAACAACTCGCGTAGAATCGGAGTGTTCGTGTCCGAAGCTCGCTCACCTAGCAGCTGGCGCATGCGATGAAGTAGCTGAGAGGGTCGACGGTCGCCCAGCTCCTCTGTGTTCAGGAGCTGCTGAATCCTCTGCCTCCGTCTTCCTAGCGAGGATCGTCCGCTCGATGTAGGCGTCGTCGGGAGGGGGAGACGCCAGTACGTCGTCCGGCTCATCAGCCACCTCTGGGGGAAGAGCAGAAACCACATGGTAGGAGCGGGCGGTCTGGCTTGTGATGTGCCGCAGGTGGAATTGCGCTTCCACTCGGGAAAACCAGGCCCGAGGGTTTTTTGCCCAGAAGGCTGGAAGGCGGAGGTGGACGGTGGAGAAAGCTCCGTCGCCGTTGGAAGAGGTGCCGGTTCATGTTGGTCGGACGTCCGGGTCACCAGTTTGTCGGCGGTGTTCTATAAACGCCGGAGGAAAAATGCAAAAAACAAAATTGGGTTGTGTGTGTGTTTATACAGCCTAGAACTTGGTCTGCCTCAGAGGGGCGACGAGTCTCCCAGCTGTAGATGAGAAATTTAGCCAGTGCGGTAGAGCCGCTAGCCTGGGGTCTTTAACGTGCATCACGCAGTAGTGATACACGACCGCACGCCGGTACGATGCTCATCCAGATCGAAACGGGCAGGGTGGGGCTCGAACCCAGGATCCCTGGGTTCTGCAGCGCGAGCTTTCGCTCCACGTGCTCCGAGCTGGTGTGCGAGGAAAAAAAAAAATGCAGGCGTCCGAACTAGAGCCACTCTATAGACGCTTTACACACGCGCCAGAATACAGCCGCCATTGCTGACCTTCTCTTGTTTTACCGAGATACCGAGGCACTGAAATTGGTGTGGACGAGCCTCCACAAAAACCAATGCTGGGAAGAAAGACAGAATAAAATCTAAGATGGCAATAACCTAGCCTGCTATGGTAATAATGAAATGAAGTAAACGTAATAAGGGGAAACAAAAACTGAAGGTCAGTTATGGCGGTGCCCATGCACAACTGCTGCAAAGCGTCTATATGGCAGCGTAGCTGCCAGAGTAGCGACACGACGCAAAATTATCTAGATGCACGACGTCAGATGCGCTGATAGTGATCTCCATTTTGGGCCTGAGAGGTTGCTATGGTAACCGTGCTTCTAGCGACGCCGGGCGGCAACCTTTGTAGTCTAGTTGATATCTCCATTCGTTCATTGAAAAGTGCTATAAGACGCTTGGCATCGCGGTACGGCAAGAACCTATGGAGGAACGGTGCCTGTTTTTTCTGAAAAGTGAGACGATTTGCAGCCCGGGGACTGTCGGGCTACGAGAGCTGCTATATGGTATCGTACGTGCACAGACAAGGCGAGAGGTTTTCGGCGCCGCCGGGATGGCGGCCGCTTCGTGGGACGAACGTACCGTCCTAGTACTTTCGGACTTCGCTCCGATGGAACAAAACTACGCCGGCCACGACAGGACGATTAGCTCGGGACATGACTGCTGCTCGACTGCCCCATAGTGAGCGAGTATATGTTTAGCATCATACTTCTTGAAGGCCCGATCATCCCTTCAAGATGAGATTTTCTCACCAACTGGTGAGGAGCGACGTCGACGGGGTTCAACCAAGAAGGACGACATGGTGGTCTTTAGGGAATTGTTGACGACATCAAAAGAGACGGACGCCGGATATGAGGTGTTCTTGCCGACAGGCCAAATGGTAGTTCGGAAATTTACCGGCATTCAAAAAGTCAATATTTTTATCTGGTGTAGCACACATATCCGTGTTAAAGGGGCCACGAAATTATTTTTAAACTTCTTCTTCTTTACCTGTAATCCTCAACTCGAAAGAGAACTGTGAAATCACGCAGTCGTGACATGCTAGGGCACCGGTGCGATGACCCCAAGCTTTCACAGTGCTTTTTAAGCGCACCGTAGAACTTGGCATTCGCAAGTGATGATAGGTTTTTCAGGACACTCATTGGCCAGGAAGTCGAAGTCAAATATGCATGGACGAATTGATTGCTGACGAGCGCATACATCCGAGCGACGCAGTTTTCGTGTCCAATGCGTGAGTTGGGGTCGGCTGACGTCATTTTGGCCTTTGTAGGCATTACAAAGAGGATATTTAGAACTATACACACATGATGATAACATCATAGCACACTGACATTAAGTAGCACAAAACGGGCCCAGCTACAGAAAATAAATATTACACTCGTAAGAAATAAATACGTCCGTAACTTGTTAATTACAAAGACGAACGCACCTCTGAGCATCTAAGTTTAATAGTATGTGTTGATGCATTGTTATATAGCAGGACATTTCATATACGTCACTTGAGCAAACGCCAGTTTTTCACTTGAAAAACAAACCAAAAAACACAGCGATCAAATGCAAGCCATTGCAACGAAAGCAAGTTATATTAAAATCTTCAGAACTGCCAATTCGTAAAATTGGGGATTAGTAAAAAAGGTTAAAGATCGCAGGAGCTTCCTCGCTAAAAAATGCTGCGATTATTCGGTGACCCAGGGCTGAAATAATTTCCCCAAGGCCCTAAACGCGCCGTATACCTTTCGTTATGATTCTCAGAAATTCAGACTTTCAAAGGAAACTAGAAAAATGCGAAAATTTTATACTAAAAGCTGTGTGGAGCGCAAGTTCGTCTGCTTCTTTTTGCAGGGGTTGTGGTGACGTCAGAACGCCGAGATATGAATGGCTCCGATTGAAGGATAGTGGGTAGACCTAAAAGCAAGCTGCCTTGAGGTCTACCCACTGTTCTCCATTTAGATCCAATCGGAGCTCGGCGTTCTGACGTCACCACAAACCCTACTAAAAGAAGCAGACAAACTTGCGCTGCGCATATCGTAAAATCGTTGATTAGTATACTTGGGAGTTGTGTGAACATTTACACAGCGTGTAGTTGGTCAGCCATTTCAAAGTTGCGACGAGTCACTCGCTGTAGATGAGCAATTTAGCCAATGCAGTATAACCGCTAGCCTGGGATCTATAGGTCTTTAACGTGCACCACGCAGTAGTGATACACAACCGCAAGCCGGTACGATGCTCATCCAGATCGAAACGGGCAGGGGTGGGGATTGAACCCAGGTTCCCTGACTGATTAGTACAAAACGTAAACATCGCAGAAGCTTCCTCGCTAACAGTTTGTGATCATGCGGTTACCTGGGGCAAAAACAAATTCCCCAAGGCCCAACATGCGACGCATAGATTTCGCATCGATTCTCAGACACTCCAACGTTCAAATAAAGCTAAGAGAATGCGAAAATTGCATGCTAAATGTCTTGTCCATCCTCAAACACATCCGGAAACCCGAGCACCGCTAAGGCGATATTACTAGAGAGTTTTAGTAGATCGTTTCTCACTCCGATAACGATACCCGATACTGCGCCGGAGCCATCACGCATGCGCTAGAGTATCGGGTGTTTCGGGCGCAGGTATCGGGAATATCGGGAAATATCGCGCGCACTCTCGTGCATCGCGAGAGTTGACGAGATCCGGCAAAAGCTGAACGATCATGGCCGCTCCACTCGAGCCTCTTTCTGCCCAAGCGGGTCGAAAACGATTCACGATCATCGAGGATATCCTCCTTTTAAGGGAAGTGCTTGCGGTGAATCCGTTTGTGAATTCTTCACGGTGGGATACAGTGGCCGCGAACCTAAATGAAGCACTGGGGAGGAACTTCAGTGTTCGCGGAGTGAGAGACCGCTGCGACCTGCTGCTCGGTCTGTTCAAGCGAGACGACCGCACAAACTTGAGAAAGTAAGTCGTTTTTGAGTCCCGTTTGAAAGTTCAGAAGCGTTTTAGCTGGGGTGCCTTCATGTGCGCTTTGCTTGGCGTGATGACATCTGGTCATTTTGTTTCGAACGCTTATTTTTATTTTTTTTGTTCTGAAGCGCGTGAAAGGGCGTGTCCCTGCACGCGCTCGTGGTGCTGACTGTGCTACGGCGACATTTTGTTTCCTGCGATTTCTTTGTATTTTTCCTGTGAGCGCGTGCTGTCGGCATCGGGTACTACCAACGATGGCATCACCCTAAACAGAAGGACATTGAGGCACTTAGTTTTAGCATACTGCCATACCCTGTCCAACAGCTAGCGCAACTGCGAGCTAGCGCGAGCTTGTTGTTTGGAAACGCACATGCCTGTGCCGCTAGACATTTCGCGTAGGAAAGCGCGTTTTCAAACTACCGAGTTCGCGTTGCAGCTTTCCCGACACGGAGATGTACTCATGTTCGTTGACTGAAATAACAGATCTACGCTTGAGGAAGACAGGCGCACTTGTTGATACCGCTCTCCCCCTGAAACCCTTAGATCCGGAACGGAAGAGCAGTACACCGAAAAAGAGCAGCTGCTGCAGGATGTTGCTGACCTGGCCTGTGAATTTTGTTACAAGGTTAAGCCAGTGCTCAGGAAGGCGACAGCCACCGAGGAAGGTGCCACCACCACCTCCACCGCTGCGCTGGAACCGCGGGAACGTGCCACAGCCACCACAACCAGGCCGGCGACAAATCGGGCTGCTCGCGATGCTGCCACTACAGCGCGAGTTGTTGCGGCTGCAGCCGAGTACAGACCGGTCAATCATAATGCAGTGGCAGGGCAGTCTAGTAAGTATGACACGTGCGTCATGAACCCCACCTGGTTAGGAAAGTCAGGTCGTCATGACCGCTCCATCAATCGCGTTTGTCTACGACTGATATTAGGCTACTCGCGAGTTCCCATCGAATAGCCTACTGAGGACGACTTACATGGTCTGCTGCTCTCAAGTAAAAGTGTAATTTACTTGGGTACATCTGTAGTTCCCAGAGCACAGCTTTGAGTAAACTGCCGAGTTCTGATTAGGTATGTTCTAAACATACATTAATGTATGTTCTAAACATACATTAATGTTTCAGGCATTCAGAAAATGCAGAATGCTAAGCCGGCATGAACAGCTTCTTCTATTCATGGAACATTTTCCCTCACGCGCCGCACATCGGAGTGTCGTGATGTGTCGAGGAAACGATAAGAGGCACTACATATTTTGGAATGGTCTTTTGAAGATCTGACTCCATCATACCTGCGTTGTATTTTTCATACATTTTCAATGCCCAGCTCCACAGCGTGTGTCATGATACACCACAAATATTTATGGAATACTCTATTTACAGGTTCTGAGAACTGCCAGTCTATCTTTGCTGACATAATGAACGGCGTGGAGGACGCCGACGCCTGGCAACCAGGCAACACAGACCAAGTTGTGGAGCTGGCCCCAGCCCCTGTGCCGCCGGTTCCGACCCCTGTGCCGCTGGTCCAACCCCCCTTGCCACCAGTCCAGGCTCGTGTGCCGGTTACTTCTGTCGCACGACCTAGGACTTGGGGCGGACAGTGTAAGCACTGCCATCTTTCAGTAGATGCTTCAAGCATACGTTAAACTTTTGAAAGAGGATACACATAACCCCATTTGTAGAAATTCTCCAAATCTGCTCTAGAAGTTTTGGGCTGTGATTTACATTTGTTATTTTTTGCTTACTAGACAGACATATCTCAGTCACTGTTTGAACACACATGAATTACCCAGTATTTTTTGTGCAGTACCTTCATTGAATTGCCAGGTCCAATAAAATAAACATTCAATCAATTGTCAACCTACACACTAAGAAAAATTTTAAAAAAGTTGTTTATTTGATGCTGTGTGCATTGTTTCCTTTGTTGTATTTTTCCAGCAACCAGGCAGAAGCGGTACAGGGAGCACCTTGCATCGCTGGACAAGAGAGCAGAAGAGGACCGCAGCATAAAAAAACTAGAGATCGCTCTTGAGGAAAGGCGTCTCGCCATGGAGGAGCGCCAGATGGAGAGGCGCCTGGCCATTGAAGAGCGCCAGGTGACCTTAAGCGAAAATCGCTTAGCGTTTGAAAGAGAAAAATTTTATGTGCTACAGGAGGCTGGAGCAGAGGAGAGGAGGCTTCGGCTCCAACTGCAAGAACATTACCTTAAAGTAGTGAATGGTCAAATTAACAAGTAAAGTTAAGTGTGAGCAAGTGGTATGACATCATAATACATAATGCAATAAATCTTTCATTTCATGAAACAATGTAGTTGAAAAAAAACGGCAGGGGTAGGCCCGTTCGATTTACTATACAAAGAAATATTTTGAGTGTAATATTGAACAGACAGCAAATGCTATGTTGGCAGTGACTGGCAAAGCAATAACATGAGACACTTGAAAATCACCACGCTGATAAAATTTATGTCAAGCTGAAGGCGCTTGACGAATAACAGAAATAGCATATACTTAACATATAAACCTGTATCGTTCACAAAACTAAAACAATATAGGAACACGGTTGCTGCTTTGAAAAGAACACAAGAGGCAGATAAAAGAAATGCAGCAGGTAAGCAACCAGACAATTGCACAAAAGTCATCCCGTGGAATAAATAGTCATAAAAAATGCTATGGTCTGTTGCAACTAAGAAGGTAGGGCGAGAAAAAGAAAGACAAAGGAGGAGGAAGCAGATGAAACGCTAGAGGAGGAGGTTTCCCCCACTCCTCTCCAGGGTTCCGTCTACTTCCTCCTCCCTGGCCTCCCTTTCCCTCGCCCTACCCTCTTGTGTTGCAACATGCAACAGACTATAGGCACTCGGACAAAAAAAAGATTGCACAAAAAGAATTCAAATTATACGAAGTCAATAACGAGGTGAAAGATATTCATCCAGCGTCGGCGGAGACAGCTGAAAGTACGTGGAGGTTTGGCTGCCATACAGGCACGTGTGGCAGTTTGTTAACAGTGTTGCAGCCTGATACATATCGCTCACGCGCTGCAGCCTGTGCTTCTGATTTTTTTTGAAATCTACAAAAGCGAAGAGAGTTGACACTTTCCCAAAGCCCCATTCTACTGCTTGCCTCACGCTGCTCATTTTTTTGTTAAAGTTCTGCTCTGCGGCAGTCAAGCTAGCACCCATGAATGGTTTCTGCAACAAAGGCCGCAAAGGATAGGCAGGGTCACCGTAGATCGTGTATACGCTGCCCTGCACGAGGTCCTCAAGCCTTTCATAAAGGCCGCTCAGCCGCAGGATACCTGAAAAAGGAGTCAGACGAGACACAACGATAAAACACTGAGTAGCATATAGTGACAATCACCACCTGCACGTCGATAAGCCACAAAGATCGACACGCCCTTTCCTCACTGCATAGAGCAAAACATTGATTTGTGTGACCTTGTTTGGCTTTGCCAATTTAGAGGTCAGAGGGTACTGTTGCCACTGCCACAGCCACCTTGTTTAATGTTCCAGTTTGAAAACATCCAAATTTGTTGGCATTTCAAACGCGAAGGGATTTACATCAGAGCTGTGGACGCATCAGCCGCCTCGGTCGAGGCAAAGCGTCGGCCTACGGATCCTCAGGTGGCGGGTTCGAATCCCCGCCGAGGTGCCAGCACTCTGATGGAACAGTCAAATTTGGGGGTTTTACGTGCCAAACCAACGACGGGTATCTGGCACGCCCCAGCGGAGGACTAAGGATTTATTTGGACCATCTGGGGATCTTTTGACGTGCAACCGAAAGCTCGGTTACACGGCGCCTCCTCTGCAATAAGCCTCCGTCAGATTGCGGGCACCTCGGCCGGGATTCGAACCCGCGACATGGGGATCCGTAGGACAGCGCTCTCGCCTCGGAGCCACCGAGGCGGCTAGCACTCTGATAGAGGCTTATTACAGAGAAGGTGCCGTCGTAACCGAGCTTTTTGTTGCACATCGAGATACCCAGGAGGTATAAATTAATCCTCCACTGGTGCGTGCCAGTCGCCCGTCGTTACTTTGGCACAGAAAGCCCTCAACTTTTACTTCTGCGGACAAATCATTCCCACCACGGCAGTTAGGCACAGTCTTAGGTTACCAGCTTGACATCGTTTTAGCTTGCTGCCCTTGTTCGGCCAGTGTCTTGCACTGCGTCAGCGACTGTGACTGCTGCCATCATGTGTTCAATAACTGGGCTAATGGTTACCGAAACATTGGTTTACTGGAATGCCCGATGATCTTGTGAGCTGCCAAGCTGGCAGCTCGCATGCAGGCTCTCGTCTGCACGATCGAACACGCTGGAAAACTATCCGCAACTCTGGCAAGCAGCCTAATGAAACAAGTAACCACGCAAGGGTAAGTGCTGCATTCAGTGGCAATAGGTCTACTGCAGTAGTCATAACTGACATGTTAGGATAGGAGTAAAGGACTGCCATTCCTGATCCATTCTCAGCTTTGTCTTCTTTTATTCCACAGTCCAAAGCTTATACGACAACGCCCTTTAACAAAAAAGCAATGGGACAAGTGTTTGCCTCCCTTCGTACTGTCACATTATTTTTCCACCCCAGTTTAAGAGTTTAACTCCCTGTCCGAAGAACACCAGCTTGACTTTCAGCATTTAAGCATGAAATAGTATTTCTTCTGTACTATCGCGGCCAAGATGAGCTGAAAAGCCAGGATGTGAGGCAGGCAGTACTTTCCAAGCCGCCTGCCGCACTGTTCTGCAAACTGTGATGCACGATGAGGCCAAGACATACCCCTTTCTGCGCTCGTTGTGCCACCCTGAACTTCTGTGTTCTCTGCCTATGAAACAGCAGTTCTGTTCAAATGGATGCCTCGATGGTCGGGTCATCTTGAAGCTCCCACTCCAATTGGAAGGAATAGGCTTTTTGCAAAAATCCCTCATTGCCTGCCCCCCCTGACACTGAAGAGAGCAAGAGGTATAGCACAGTTGCTCGCCTTACTTTGCTGTCGCCTCCCCGGTGCTGTGGACAGCGGCATCGTGCTTTGAAAAAGGTCTATTCACCGATGCAGCTCTGGCAAGCTGGCGGTCCCTGTCCCTTGAAGCACGAAAACGCCCTTTACGTGGTGTACCCTGAGGTCGAACCACATTCCTGTAGGTGCGATCTATGTGTTTCGGGCACTAAATCGTTTACCAATTATTGTGTTATCATAAGCACAGTCTTTCGACAAGATCTGCAATAAAGATTTATTCTGCATCGTGCGTGGGTTTTGAGGTTTGGCGAAAGGAAGAAATGTCGCAACCATTTGCTCAATAGCAGACGACACGGAAATATAGAGGTGAGCCGCCAGTGTAGAAGGAACTCTGTGTTGGCCACGGCGCCCATCACAGTTTGCAGAACAATTCCACAGGCTGCCTTGATAGCAGCACGGGTCTTGCCTGTGGCGTTTCAACTTATTTTGGCTGTGATAGAGGCTGTTCCTCTATTTATGAGCGCTTCTTCCAAGAACCTGTAGGTTACGATTTCCGAGTATTTGCTATTGACTTACCGGCGTCGTGTCGGTGTCCCGGGTAAGGGCCATTCATCTCCACGATGATGCCGTTGGCACACATGACGCCCTGGTACTTGATGGCGTGCACACGCTTGTGGCCAGAGAAATAAAGCCGCTGGTCCTCCGTGGGTCGGCAGATGGGGCGGGCCGTTCCATCAACGAAACCCCAGCAATTCTGAAGAGGTGCCCCCTTCGCGCGGACCGCCTGCAAAAGCAAAATCAACAACGCACTTGCATTTTTTTTTTTGTGTTTTTAATTTAACTTTACAATATGCTTACCTCGGTGAACTCGTCCAATCTTGCACGGTTCAACCACGTGTGAGCTGACAGATCCGCGGTCAGCTGCCCGAACGTGGACGTCAAATGGTTTAGCACCACGGTCGTCGCACTCGAAAGTGTCGAAGAGTGGCGGCCAAACATGCCTTCAGGTCGCAGAGGCGGTTGGGGTAGGAGAGTCTCCGCAGAAGAATACACAGAGCTTCCTGCCCGGGGATGGCGACGTTCTGGGCCGTCCTAATTGTATGAGGGACTCGCAGCGCGCTACACAGCTCCATTAAGTCCATCTGCTCAAAACGAAACTGATGGCGGAAAGCTTCACTATCTATGTTCAGCACGTCCAAGTAGCCTCGCCCGGACCTAAACCTCCGCGGAACGGGGTACTCCATATCCAGAAAGGAGAGTTCTTCAATTTCGTCCCACCTCAAAACAGCTAAGGCCAAGGGATCCTCGAAAACACACGTCGCCATGGCTCAGGTTGGTCACTCGCTCGACTCGCTCACGCCCGTGCCACCCGTGCTTTCTATGGCTTCCCGTGACAAGCCACGGGGGGGGGGGGGGGGGGGGGGGGGGGGGGGGGGGTCTAAATTGGCATGTCTTTAGTTGGCTAGATGTAGCTTGCTGCTGCATTTCTCTAATTTCTGCAACTTATAAAACTTAATTGATGTTTTTTTTTTTTAATTCTATTAAATGTAAGAACTGTTAATTTTCCTTCAGTGAAACATCTTTCTTTTATTTCGTTATTTTTCGTTTTGGAAATTGCAAATCGTTTCCACTAGGGAGTGCCCCAGCGCCTTTAGTGACCCGTATCGGATGTATCGTCTTCAAAACGGTCTACTAAACGCTCATTCCTGTTCTGTGTATCGGTATCGTATGGTTATCGTATCGTTATAGGGTATCGTTATAGGAACGATCTACTAAAACTCTCTACTGATGCTGTCGCACAGGTGCTAATATCCAGAGCGATCTTGCACAGAAAGGGTATAAAGTATCATTCTTTCAGATCTTCACGTTATACCTACGTCAGAAAGCACGAAGAAGCCCTAAATCGTCGGCAAGCTGCGGCACATCACGACCCCTGCGCACCCAACGAACTCGCATCCACCAGCTCTGGGCGCTGCCATCTTACCGATGACATCACGGCTGTTGAGAAATCACGTGACGAGTCGTCACTCGGTTGCTACGGAGACCGAGCCAGCTCAGCTCGTTGCTATGGTACCGCGTGTGACCAATCGCGGTGAGAGGCGGCACAGGGAAAAGCGTGGCGCTACTCTGGCAGCTACGCTGCCATATCGAGTGGCTCTAGTCCGAACCAGAGCTTTGGCTAGAGTCAACTTCCTTGTCTTTATTTTTCTGGCTCCCAAGCCACGAGCGCTGGCAGAGGCTGGCGCTCGTGAGAACCAGCATTGCGAGCCTAGCGCTTCTGTCTGTGTCACTATAGACTAATGCCTCTAGAGTGTGTGCTATCCTCTGCTTTCATTATTCGCGTGTTTTTGATGGAGATCACTCGATTAATATCGACTCCCCCCCTTTCCCAGTACTGACGGGTCTTTCAGCAACGCTACCACTTGGGCCGGCCGCCCATGACAAAATGGTGTATGAG